TCATCTGCCACATATTGAGGGCAGAGGGAGAGCGATTGCTCATCCGCTGCTCCTGCTTTTGCTTGCTTCCCCATATTTAAAGGTACAGTTTATTCAGACGCCAAATGAATAGGAGAAGTAAGTTTCTTGGGATTATTCGGCACTACCGTAGGACCTGCAACGAACTCTCGGATGAAGCAAATCAAGCGATTTCGCTGAATATGACTTTGTAAATTCTGGACCGTATGGGCATTGCGATTGCGCCAAATCCCAAAAATATCAATCAGCTGGGGCGAGGGGGGTTGTTGCACTGGTTTCACGATTTCTATTCGTGGCGTTGGCTGGTAGCCCACTTCACAGAACTCCTTCCTTCATCAAAAGCCATTCCAGTAATATTAAGAAAAAGCCCTAAGATACTTACTAAGATGCACGCTTGGTTCCAGTGAATGTGATGTAGTCGCTTTAGATTCTTTCCCAACATGACCGGAGTGTACCCACGGACGCGATCACCTTATAAAGCGTCAATATTTTGAAAGAATTAAACTAATCCGCCTATTCTATGGCAGTGTAACAAGAGGTCAATGCGCGACGCCGCGTTTGCTTGTACTTCAAGTTTGGACCAAATGGCCCATAGCTGAGGCCAGTGCGCGACGGTTGCGTGCACAACGTGCCGCAAGTGTTTTCGCGGAGGGATACGGTACCCGTGCGATACGTGCACAAAATATCTTTTTCTTTTTACGAAGGCCTCAGCAAGGCGTAATGTCTCCATTTCGATCACATCTTGGATCGCGAGTGAGCGCGACGTCGCGTGGTGACCACTTGACACCGTAAACTCGGAACAAACTCGAGAATGCCATGCTACATGCCGGAAACTAATGGGCAATAATACAAAAATCAGTGAAACCAGTGCAACCCCCCCCCCCCAAGCTGATCATATTTGGCGCAATCGCAATGCCCATACGGTCCAGAATTTACAAAGTCATATTCAGCGAAATCGCTTGATTTGCTTCATCCGAGAGTTCGTTGCAGGTCCTACGGTAGTGCCGAATAATCCCAAGAAACTTACTTCTCCTATTCATTTGGCGTCTGAATAAACTGTACCTTTAAATATGGGGAAGCAAGCAAAAGCAGGAGCAGCGGATGAGCAATCGCTCTCCTCTGCCTTCAATAATGTGGCAGATGAGCGTGCCGTCGCAAAGCGGCTGCTGTGCAGATTGCTCCCTCTTTCTCCATCAACCTATGATGCTTCTCGTAATTGTATTTCGAATCCTGCTTCTCCTCATTAATTGTCATTTGGAACTAAGTTTCCTGTTCAAGGAATGATACGCTGAACATTTGCCTGCCTTATATTTTTGCAGATATTTCATTTATGAAAGCTTAGCCAGCATAAAAATAAGGATATATGAATCAAGCATTAGCCTTTCTCACGTATACCGTAAGAATGACCCCGGACAGATGGCTGCTATCTCCTCGTATATACATAATTACTTGTCCATAACGCTAATATTATTCATCGGGTAGTCTGCATTCATTCCTTATCTTTTAACAGAATTCATATTGTAATCCGCTGACCGTGAAACGCTTTCGATGTGATCTCATTCTTCTATTCTTATGTGCAATTCCTACTGTAACACATAAATAAATAATCGAATATAAATCGTTCATTCAACTCGCAGAAAGCACTTTATAAATGTTACGTCAAACTTTTTTCCTTGTGTCTCCTTGAGATGTGAACACGTAAGTTGTACGGATGTGAGAAGGCATGCTGACATATTTGGCACTTGTGGGGTTTTTCACCTGAAATAAATTAATGCAATGCATGCTTGCAAGTTCGTCATCGCTAATTAGTTAGTTGGTCTTGAGCTCATACAAGAAGTTTATAAGAATGACGTATTCCAACCAGGTCAACGTGGCGTCTTACAGTTTTTAAGATTTTTCACTCCCCCCCCCCTTCTCGGTCGACGAACTACTTGAACTCGAGCTGCCTCCTCATAAGTGACTTCAACCACTGGAAGCTGAGTTTGCGAACGCAGTACGAGGAAGAAACTACTTGAACCTGGCTTCGATCCTATCGAGCTCGTGCCTAAATCACAGTCATACGTTTGGGCGATTCAGATTAGGCAGATTCGCGTCGCGATTCGCTACGATTCGGCAGCGACAGTCGAGGCGAATCGCTGAAGTAATGGAGCACTCGGGTCCTATCCCGTCCGTTGCGCTCATTATCGGCACACACTCTACCATCAGCCCCGGCTCATGACACACTAAATTTTAACCTATCGTTAGGACTTACAACTAATATCCACCAAACGTCTTGACTCAGGGTGTAGAGTACAATGTCGCTTCTACAAGTGGATAAGATCTCGCTGGCGGATGTCAATGTGTCTTTATATCACTTTCTCAGAGATTTAGCTTCGATACCAGACGCCGTCTGTACGCGCCGGTTCCTATAAAGTCCCGTGATCTCTAGCAACTCAACTTGAAATTGTATCGAGTCATTCGGCAAGTGGGGACCACAGAAGAAAATTCAAGTAGTCTGTAACTCCACCTTCCCCCCTCCCCATATAGCCGCTCCAACCATGGTGCAATAGCTGATAGTGTTGGACCTGCTTCAGCAAGACAGAATTTCACCTCCCACCTTGGAAAATACTTACGGCGTGTCCATAACAGTAACGACAGGTTCTTCCACTGTGGAGAAAAGCATCTACAGACATGGAACGCGAGATATTTTAGAAGTTTCTCTGCAATCGTCAAAAACTATGCAAACACGTTTACCAAATCAAAACCTCACAGGCAGTCGAAATTAAGTTGCAGGCTAAAATCTTTTCCTTCTGAAATTAAGTTTCATTATTATATCTAAATCGTATTCAGGCTGCTTGATCGCCTAATCACGAGTCCTTTCTCGGCGCACCGACTCCCTTATGTTCGACCCCACCTCACAAAAAAATCATAAAAACAGATTGTACCTGCTTTTCGATCGCAGGAAGGATTGGTGCATCACAAAGTAGCCTAGCAACAATGATCAAAGCAATTAAAAGGCGGAGTTTACGATTAGAAGGGCAGCCCAAATTAAATTAAAGGCTGCGATTACGATAGATTCTGGTTGGAAGGGAAGGAGGGGGTTCAGAAGAGACGTGGGGGTGCTCAATGGTAGGCCAATGGCGAAAAAACCGGAGAAATACATCAGGAATTTGCAAAGTACTTTCTCCTCAAAAATGCAAGGCCAACAGCAAACAGCTCGCCCAATCACAACTGAACTAGTGGGCGTAACGCTTTTGGGGCGGAGTGCTTCGGAAGTCCTGCTCAGCAACCAGCGCACCTTTCGTCGTGAAAGCGCCACACCTCGCTTCCTTGGCAGCCAAGTAACTGCTTCGTGTGGTGCATATACTCCCCCAATGCGGCCCTTATCGTAACCGCTTCCTTACAGGTAGAGGTGATCACTGGTGTCGAAATGAAGAAAAAGCCATGAGAAACGGCCCAGAACCGAGAAATGGACCCCTTCCTTGCCCGTTGATTTCCGCATTGATGCGACTCTCATCGGTGCTGCCCTCTTCAACGCTAACGCTCTCTCTGCTAAACCTAGAGACCTGCGGCGAGTGGTTAGCCAGTCGGTGGGCGTGCCGCGCCGATAGCGCCGCGGGGAGGGCCATGCTAGATCGCCGAGGGCATATCCTTCGCTGCGAATTGCGCGTCGGTCGCACCGTTAGGGGTCCGCCTGTCATTCCACTCGGTAGTTTCCGCTTCTTCGACCTTCGATTATTGTGGAATCTTCCCTTAGATTCTACTGACACATTACATCAGATATGACGGAATCAGACGTCAGGGCGAAGGAGTCGTCCAAAGTCGTGCTTTACACCTGCCGAAATGCTCTTAATGACATATGCGCCCCTATTAATTGGTTCCACTTCTCCACGTCCGAATTGACTGAGGTCAACATAAGTCCCGAAAAACTCATTAGCACAACAGCAAAATTGAATACATTAAGAAAATGTACCTGTGTGGGTTTTGATGTGAGACTTCAAATTGGCTTCCAATGAGAACGCTTTTGAACACCCGTCGTACTGACACTGGAATGCTTCAATTTCAGTATAGCTAACCGTATAAAGACAATTTGCAATTTCATCTACTGTTCAAGACGTTGTAATTACTTTCTGGGAATAGGGCCGACGTCATACTTTGCGATTCGCTCGATTCGCTGGCGAATCGCTAGCGAATCGAGCGAATCGCTAATCGAATCGCAAAGTATGACGTCGGCCTAAGCCGCTTCCTTTTCGCAACTCACTTCCAGTGAAGTCACTTATGAAGGCCATTCAGGGACACATCTTTACCGTAAGCTGGTAACAGCGATCCCACGAGAATGAGAACCCTCAGTCTCCGACCACGATAACGCCGACGTCATATTAGGAAACATATGATCAAATAAATGGTAACGGACGTGTTATTTCCTTCTGAGAACGTGATGGAACTCAAAAATCAACAGCAAAGTAGCGGGATCACTACTCTTTCAAGAAGATTTGAGAGTAGACGAGTTTTCCATAATTTTCTTGGTTTTTATTCTCGCTCAAGCAATAATTTAATGAATATGAAATATAACATGCCTAGCCTCCTTCGTACACACAACCCTCCCTCTTCCGTGAATAAGTCAGCTGCGTTAAGTGAAATCACCTAATACACGGTGCAGAAATGGAGATGCGTTAATGGGCTCCCACCGACGGTCCCAGCAGAAAAAGCAACAGCATAAAACTAACGAGTTTGATATGAAAATGCTCAGGCGGAGAGTACCCACACCACTCAACTGACACCTGGATTCCGCGAATACTGATCGAAGGGAATCGATCAGAGCCAGTTTCAAAGCACCAGACAGGCATAACTTTGCACAAGGCTTTCTCTCACAGTTCTGCCGGTATTGTTGAAGAGAAGAGGGGATCAATATTGGAAGTCGGCGATTCTTGAACGGAACTGAAACCCTTCAAATTTTCACTGTGCCGCTTCTAAACGCTCAACTTTTGCGCTGGCGCTTTATACAAATAACTTGTTCCCCGAGAGGAATCGAAAACGAGTTTCAAATGACTTTCTCTCTCCGAAGAAGCCGTAGCTGCGCTTAGTAGCCGGTGATAAGGGAAGTTCCACTCACTATGGACGAAACGTGTCCTCAACTAGGTGTTGCTCCCCATAAAATTGTTTAACTAGGTTGCGTAGAGATTGGATTTTGAGCAAATTAATGAATGAAGGAGAATGCTAATATATTGGGTTGTCTCATAATTCCTGTCGCAATTTCGACACTTTTGTTTATCCAAGTTTTATCTCTTCTAGGAAACAACTGATCAATAACATAACCACCATCATGGTCACTGATATGCGTGCATTTGCTAGTGAGCGTTTGGAAGCTTCCAGCCCAGAATGAAGGAAGCTGGGGGTTGAAGAATTTGGAGAAGTCGTTTTTGGGGTGGTCGCAATCTTTAACTTTCTTCTCTGGCAGATGCTTATTCAGGGCGCAGGGGAGGCGATAGTCCGATAGAGCGATGCCAATGCTATATGGTGGATGAGGTATCGTGGCCCTGGCTATCTCCCTCAGAACGTGGTGAGTTGGCATTGCAATGTGAGGTCTGGTGTACATTCGGAGGAAAGGAGATCTGAGACGTTTCTGACGATTCCCTCGCAACCCGAAGCCAGCCTAGAGGGCTATTCCGCGCTGACTTTAGCAATGCTTGTCTTCATACATTGAAGTGGTTCCCAAACCAGGCCACCTAGCGAATCCAACAAAACGAGAGCGATATTCTCAGAAAACGGAGTTCGGGCTTTGGTTTGAGCTGGTGCTTCCTGGCTGCGAGGCAGCCATCAGACGTGCCGCATGTTGTTGTCGCAGTGGACTCATGACTCATTTCCACTGGTGACCGATTAGGGAAGGCTCTGCTTTTGCCGTCCAAGAATGGATTTTCCCCAGATGGTCAGGCGTGCTTCCCGCTCATGGTCGGCCGGACCATAAGGTTTCCATCAAAACTTCATTCTGCAGCAGTCCTTGCCATACTGATGGCGTGTGCTGGTGCATCGGCTGCGCTCAGGTATCTGCTACAATACCCTGGTAGCAACGTACGGAGGCACTCCCAATTTAGGGTGCAAGGGGCGCTCAAAAATGACCGCAGGCCCAGTATGAGGTTGAAGTTCATAGCTCGTTTCGTCTTTGCCGTTGCGATTGGACCACTAGCTCAGTACCCTATCAGTAGCAGAGACTGGGTCAAACACAGCGCTGGTCTTCTCTGTTGTCCTCCTTGCTACAGAGTTCATTTGAGGATCGTAAAGCATAATCATTCATTATAGTCACTGACCTATTTTTTATTCCTAGTTGATTAACCCGTTACGGGCTTGCGCTTCCGAAACCATGCTGTTAAGGCTCTTGAAGCATACTTCAACATACTAACGTATTTCGCAATGAAACGGTCTTAGACGGAAGAAATTTGAATAGAAATGAGACAGGAATTATGAGACAACCCAATAGGTAGAGGGACTTGTCGAGTTGGTAGCAAAACCAAATTAAAGGGAACGAGATTACGATAGGGGAGCGCGTTGGGTAAGCAGTATCGTACCCGTTACTGGCTAGCCGAGAAGCGTTGGTGTGGGCGCTTCCACGACGAAAGGTTCCTGGTTGCTGAGCAGGACTTCGAAAGCACTCCGCCCCAAAAGCGATCCGCCCACTAGTTTAGTTGGTGATTTGGACGAGCTGTGTTGCCAGCAGCGGCACAACTGGAGCAACTCAATTAGAGCGTGATTTGGCATGGTGCCAGCAAACGTCGTGCACCGAACTCGTCAATACATCCGCCTCCTGAGCTGTTGCCTGTACACGATGTGAAAGCCGACGACCAGAAAAGGAAGTCCCGTTTTGCGCTTTCTTGACGGATTTCTCCGCTTTTTTCGCCACTGTCGTACCATTGAGCACCACCGCGTCTCTCTGAACTCTTCTCGAAACTATCGTGAATCGCTGCCTTTAATTTAATCCGCAGCACTTCCATTTCGATAGAATCATGATTCCATGTGCGCACTCGCTAGTGTTTGAGCCAAACTGGTAATATCATAGCACTGATATTCGCCTCATCGTATGCTATATATGGAGGGAGAGGTGTTCTAAGATCTCACCACTTTGGGAACCATTTCTTCGAAGAGCGAAATAATACTCCCCCCCCCCGCCACCCAAAAGCACTAAGACAATTGGAGAGAGGCCAGTCAGCCACAATGGATTTACGAGTGTGCAAAGCCGTTCGTCAGTGAGAGTAATGACCTTGTTTTGGCTGGACGAATTTGAAGGTGCGGTGAATAAATTTGTAACAAAGGCATGAGTGATTCATACCCGGAAAGACCTTTCGCCTGTATGTGTCAGCATGTGCCGGTTGAGCTTCGTTCGCTCTACGAAAGATTTTCCGCAGCGCTCGCAAGAGATGTTTCGCACTGCGTGTGCGTTGGACTTTTCGCGGGCCTCCGCCCGATGACGCGGGCTTCCGTAGAGCGGTGCGTGTCTTCAAAATTGACGTGCATCCCTGCAAAAACAATGTGCGTTCATGACAGCTCATAGAATTGGCTCCTCTGGCTGCACTCACGAGGTTTACAAAAAAAACTGTAACGCACCTCAATCAAACATGGATAACCTTTTGACTCGGTGTTTCTGCTAGATTGCAATTTCTTGAGCCTTGTAAGAAAAACAGAATTAGACAATTCTATAGAAGGTCAGAGCAGAATACAGTGGCAATCACCTTGTATTTTTAGGACAGATTTTCACAGGAATATTGAATCGACGAACTTCGATTCCATACCTCCCTTCGTTATCCATGCCCTTAAATTAATTTCAATTGAAGGACCCTTAGATATATCAGCTATAAGGGTCTAGAAGATTCAAATGGGCCTGCATTATTCGAGTTGACTTGCATTCTCAAGGGAATTTTGCTCGAGAAGAGAAAAAAAAAAACCCCCATCTTCCTCCCTTCTCTGAAAAATTACATCACTCTCCATCCTAACCTTACATTCGCAAAACTAACAAACAAGATAAGAAAAAATCAGAGATTTGTTCTGCAAGTGGCCAATCTGAGCCACTTTTCCAAATACAGAAGGCAAAACGCAGCAGGCTCTAACGCTGGAGAGAGTGATCCAATTTTACTTCTTAGACTCACGAATAAGAGCCTACTAACCAATACTGAAGAGGGGTCAATAAGCCAGTAATCTCACAAGTTTTCATTGCATAAAGACACAATACCAGATTACCGACTAAATTTACATGCAATGGCAATAAAAAGGCTGTAGTATATGGGTAACCAAAGTCAGTTTTACTGTATCATCCAAGTTTAGATAACTTGTGAGTAACATCTCGGATTGAGATGGGGCCGCGTGCAGGTTGTAAAAGTGCATGCAGGTGCAGACTTGTATCCCTAGGTGTAACCTTAGGTACTTGAGATTCTCTCTTATGGTCGTAAACCTAAGCCACGCCCCCATCTACTGTCGATCCGTCTTCTGATCGAGCTGATCAGTCAGTCTGGAGTTTTGCCGAGCTCACGGGATGTGAGCAGATCGGTCTCTCTCGGAAAACGAGAGGGGAGTTTCCCGAGATCGTTGCGGACGATTAGGTGATTAACTCTACGTGCTAGAGGGCTCCCCCTGACTCCGAAGCGTCGCCCGATGCGAGCTTCGTTCTCTTCACACCAGAGTTGAAGAGTGGATCTTTCCCCGTGTGGAAAGCAGTTGTGCAGTAGTTCGTACAAGACGACTACAGATGCACGTTGGCCTAAGCGTGGCTCACGCGATGGTCGCCCTTCTGTGTTCAGAAGGAAGTGTACGTTTGAACATCCTCAGCGAGAAGATGGTTCAATCGTACAAGATGGCAGGTGAATTGCGGACAGTCCCCGTTCCCTAGCTTGGTTGAAGCCTAGAATCTACAGTAGTAGATTCTAGCACCTTTTGTATGTATATTGATTGGCTCATTGCCAATCATCATTTTGTATATAATATGCAATAAATGGTTAATTACGAAAGTGTGTTGTGTCATTGTAATTGGGTACGGTCAATCGTCACAGCTGTTACATAACACCCACTACTGTCACGAAACTTTGGAGCTCTTGCGCGGTTCCAACATGGGGGCCAAGCCGGTGACAGCTAAGTAATTGACCTTTTATTTGCTGATTGCCAAGATCGATGGCGAAATGTCGCCAAGAGTGCGGATTCGCCACTGGCAAATGAGCGAGTGGTCGCATCTCACGGACGTTGAGAAAGAACTCGAAAAAGAGTGTGCTTTTCTATGGTCTACATTGATTCTTTTGGACGGAATCCACCAAAGAAGGAGGGGCGATCCTCTGTTTATCGGAGCTGTAGTGTGCAGTAGGTTGAGACAATAGCAGAACTTTTGTTCTGTGCTCCCGCTTCCGAATAAGGAGTAATAATCGCAGGTTAGTCGGATTAGACAGACGAAATCAATATACGGTGAGAATAATGCAAGTAGTTCCGGTCAACGAACGAAACTGCATTTGGTGTGTTCTGGGTAATGAACAAAAACCACGACCGTCTGTAGACATAGATTGAGAACATAGTTGAAGCGAGCCACACTTGAATGCTGCAGTTTGGGTAATAACTGGCACACGGCTTCAAGTTGATTAATTCGGTCCTAAGTTATCACTTGTGGAGAATTAGTTCAGTGGGTTTCGAGATTTCCTATGTAAGGATGCCTAATCGGGCAAAGAGCACATTTTTCGCGGATGTGTGGAGTCTGACGAGACTATAAATACGGTCAAAACTAGCAATGGATTCTTATGGATTCCACGATGGACTCAGAAGAAATAACGTGGAGCGTGTCGACGAGGACTCAACAACAACGAGCAGTTTTCCCGATGACTTCATGAGTTCCTATTTTGCTAACTTCCGAATGTACCTCCTAGTAGTAAGATTTGTAACAATTCTTGTTTCTATAGTAGATTTTGCATTCATTTTTGGAATGGTAATTTTTCCTTTCCAGTTCTTCCTCATGTATTTTTTATGTCACCTTTGCACTCTACTACGTGCTACTACGTGTAGTGAGCAATTTGCATGGTCGGTCCGACATGCGTGGAAGATCTGCCAGATTTTTATGAAAGCGTAGTGGAAACGCTTATTCTTTGAGGACCCCCATGTAGTATATGGGTAACCTTAGTCAGTTTTACTGTATCATCCAAGTTTAGATAACTTGTGAGTAATATCTCGGATTGAGATGGGGCCGCGTGCAGGTTGTAAAAGTGCATGCAGGTGCAGACTTGTATCCCTAGGTGTAACCTTAGGTACTTGAGATTCTCTCTTATGGTCGTAAACCTAAGCCACGCCCCCATCTACTGTCGATCCGTCTTCTGATCGAGCTGATCAGTCAGTCTGGAGTTTTGCCGAGCTCACGGGATGTGAGCAGATCGGTCTCTCTCGGAAAACGAGAGGGGAGTTTCCCGAGGTCGTTGCGGACGACTAGGTGATTAACTCTACGTGCTAGAGGGCTCCCCCTGACTCCGAAGCGTCGCCCGATGCGAGCTTCGTTCTCTTCACACCAGTTGAAGAGTGGATCTTTCCCCGTGTGGAAAGCAGTTGTGCAGTAGTTCGTACAAGACGACTACAGATGCACGTTGGCCTAAGCGTGGTTCACGTGATGGTCGCCCTTCTGTGTTCAGAAGGAAGTGTACCATTGAACATCCTCAGCGAGAAGATGGTTCAATCGTACAAGATGGCAGGTGAATTGCGGACAGTCCCCGTTCCCTAGCTTGGTTAAAGCCTAGAATCTACAGTAGTAGATTCTAGCACCTTTTGTATGTTGATTGGCTCATTGCCAATCATCATTTTGTATATAGATGCAAATAAATGGTTAATTACGAAAGTGTGTTGTGTTTTGTAATTGGGTACGGTCAAATCGTCACAGCTGTTACATAACACCCACTACTGTCACGAAACTAGGAGCTCTTGCGCGGTTCCAACAAGGCAAGATTCATTAATCTTTGCTGCAATAGGCATCATAAGCCTTTCTGCCCTGATTGTTCTTGTATAATCACGTATCCGACCGTCCACAAAGACTTGTATTTACTTCTGCTACACGTAGTTAATCTACATGACCTTAGAAAAAAGAAAACAAAGTGTAAACTAAATCAAAAGTTTCACATGGTTCAGAAAACTTTTCAAAACCAGCATATGAGCTTTTCTTGGGCTATATTGCTTGTAGCTAACCACTGGCTCTGGTAATTCTTTATCAGAGATATTCGAATAACTCATGGTATGATCGAATAGCATGTGGACATTAACTGCCATTCCATATGGGCTGTCGCCGGCGTGCATGTGCTATAACGCTATCAAACGATATTAACCAAAAAACGTACTAACCTTTTCTGCAACTTCACCATTTTCTGTCTCCAATGGCGGACTATGACTTCGCATTGATCCAGCGTCAATATCAGGCTCAATCTCGATCGAACTGAAAAAAATGCAGCGTATTTAATTCAAAAAAAAACTTTTGCTTTCACATTGGCGAAATGCGTAATGATACCTTAACTGGAAGCTGCTCGTTGTACTTGCTGATGATGTCGAGGGCATAGACGGATTTTGTGAAGAGTACCATGATGGCGCGTTGATCGAGGAGAGGGATGGGTCAGAATCCTGATTTTGAACGAATAAAGAGAACATAAAAGTGAGTATGTAGAAAAATAAGCATTCATTGAACTACGCAATTAGATAGAACCTATCTAGGAATCGGTGGTCGCTAGACAAGAAAATTAAGAGAGCTGGGGTGTCAGAAATGCACCAGGTGTTGCAAAAACTCCACTATCGGCGTTCACGTTTGTTTTCATTAGGCCACTGAAAACTGAAGACCCCGAACTGCCTCACAATTTGCGCACAGGGTAAAAAAATATTGAAAGCTACGCATGTTGTCCATGTTTTTTACGCTCTCTACAAAACCAACACAGGATGTAATACAAATGAAAAGGACGAGGTATTACATATCTTGTTTAATTATGCTTATCTCGAATCAGATACTTGCTCGACAATGGCCATTTACGTACGAACATCATCTGGATAAGATTCCGTCGTATGCATTCTGCCTTGCCACATATGACCGGAACAGGATTATGCTAGTCAAAGCAGATCCATAATGAATGTGAGGGAGTGAGAAACGAAGAACGAGGGAGAATGAAGAATGAAGAAGGATCAAAAGGATAGGCATGATAGATGGAGTGTGAGTATGTAAGGTTGCTACTCTCTGAATAAATCATTCCACTCCCAGTATTCTGTTTCGAAACCGTAACTATGAAAAAAGGCTTCTAAATATTGAACGAAGATGCACCGACAGACGGATCAGACTCGACCATCACCTAGCCCGATTTCAAAATTTCACGATCTCCAACAACGCCACACCCAAACGGAATCATCCACAATTTTCATAGATAAGTTCTATCTTCACAATCAGTAATTTTCTCGCCACCAACACTGCTTACCGGACAAAATTCCCTTGAAAACTGTCAGGGATTATATGCAACTTCTGGAAGGACAAATAAGTTCGCATGTGTTATGTAACTTTCACGACAATTCCAAAAAGAAAATCTTCCAGACCCAATAACGAGCTCCCTCTTTCATGAAAACCTTTGCGACCCCTTTAACTTCCATGAGACTTCGCTTGGATTTTTCCTAGCGGACTTTCGACCTTACCAAATCCTAAATAGGAGCCTCTTCCAAAATTCACAGAGGGACTGGCCAGCAGTTCGACAATAAATACTTGTTTGCAAGAAAGCTAAGGACCTACTAGGACCTCCGTAGAATGAGAGGTAAAATGCGCGGTAGAAACTTAATGGTAGAGTATCTTTAGCAGGAAATTATTTCCCTCTAATCGCAGAGCGAATGCATGTTAAGAGCACGCTAACTTTCGACTTTTCTCAAAGTCCAGAGAGTCACAAAATGAATAAGTGCCGTCACAAAACCACCTACCATGCTCAAATCAGCTCTGGAGTCGTTCTCAATCGGACATGAAATCTCCGTTGAACTTGAGCAACCCATCAGATCACCTATTTATGGATACATGTTTGTCATGGTATAATCGTAATAAGTAATGACAAAAAGTCACCCACTAGAGCTGTGAGCCCATGCCATCGATTCCATACGTCGCTTATCCGTCACGATAACGACTTTTTTTGGGAACCATTGACTGGCGGTCGAAGATTCTGTGTCCACTTTTTTCAGCACAGACACTTTGAGATCCTGCAAAAGATATGAAATGCTTTGTAAAATGAGCTGAGGGAAACTATAACAGGTTCAAGTGCAGGACATCATGAGCTGGGCGAATGCGTGCAAATTTAGTATGAGACCGCTCTAATTTCGTACTATACTATTGTGTAACACTACTATACTACTGTACGACACACTCCTACGAAGAGAGCAACTTGAATCCTGCTTCGCCAAAATTTTCTCTTCCACAGCACCTTCTGTCAAAGCACTCCTTTCTGAGGACGCAATATAAGAGCTCCTATGAGTTTGTACTAGGAGGTAATCGTATAACTTCGTATAATGCGCTTCATCAGCACGTTTGCGCGCCAAAAGGAAACATGCGTGTTGGCTGAGGTGTTACAATGTATCGGACCCTCGCGGCGAAACCAACATTTTAACACGTTGACGACACGCCCTGTTGTCGCGGCTCCCCCACTTTCTTCACGATTTGGGGCGCGGCCGCGGCAAGCCCGGCCGAGTATGCGCCATCAGCTTACCTGAGTATTCGACGTTACATTACGTATCGCAATGTAACGTCGAATACTCAGGCAAGCTGATGCCGTAATGTAACGTCGAATACTCAGGTAAGCTGATGGCGCATACTCGGCCGGGTTTGCCGCGGCCGCGCCCCAAATCGTGAAGAAAGTGGGGGAGCCCTTGTGCGCAAAACTCACATTATTTTAGAAATTTGCATTAACAGTTACTACATTACCAATAATTTCATTAGTGGTAACGAGAGAACTATTTTTCTTGTATCCAACAGTAGGAAGCGGCGGTGCTAACTTAGTTGGGGGGGGGCACGCGGCGGCGCGCGGCAGTCTGCTCGCCTGGCATGTTCGGAAATCCGTGGGCCAGGGGGAGTGTAGGCCAGTCTAGGGGGGGGGGGTGGGGGCAGTCACTTGACATGCGTGAAAAGCTGGAATGTTCGAGTTTACACTGTCTCGCTCGAGAGAGCCCAGGTGAGCAGACTGCCGCGCCGCCGCGTGGCCCCCCCCCCAACTAAGTTAGCACCGAAGGGGCCAGTCTTGAATCATGAAAATGGAGGCACAATTTAGGAAAAACAAGTCTTCCGTGTGAGAGTGCGGGACGTATGTGTCCCGCGCTGTCGTCAAAGTGTTAATAATATACGCCAGTGGTGCACGTTGCGCGCACCACGTAGCATGCACCGCAAAACGCTCCAATACCATTTCGGTGGGACCGATGTCGCGCGGTGACCTCTTGCAGCGAATTCGATCCCATGGGCCAGAAAGAGAACAACACACAGTACCCGGCGAAATTAGATACAGATATGCTCGCGCAAAACCATGGTAAACCGTCGTCGAATTAATCCGCGATAGGGTGAAGCCAGGGACTATCTGACGACTGGTTGCCAAACGGCATAGCAGCCGAAAGTAAACATAGTAAAAATTATGTTGGAGAAATTCAGAAAATCTCAGTAATTTCCACTGTTTGTACCATCGCAAACATTAGGTTGTCGGATTAGACTTTGGTCATTTGTCATTTTTTTTTTCAAATTCACTTTTCTTTTACGCTCAAGTAGGCAGTTTACAAGTATAAGCGCCATTCATATATCTTGCCTAACATTGCCTTCTTTTCGCAGAGGTAATTGCTAGAATGCCGATAGTTTGTTTGCATTTGGGAAAGCTTTTGGAGGAGGTATAATATCGATACGGAGAATCTCGAGGTGGGATTCGAGATTGCATCAAGCTCACCCCCTGTGAGCAACGGAGTCCATTGTTGGGGAATCGTTGTGTGCTGGGTCATTAACCGACATGAGAGACAGAACAACCATGAGGGGCTCGGAGATTTCCGTTAAACCTTCTTCAAAATTCATTGACGAGTCTTGCTAGGATAAATTAAACTCCAGGCCGATGTCAGACTTTGCGAATCGCGCGATTCGCAAAGTCTGACATCGGTCTTACAATGCCTTTCAAATACTATAGTGCCGGTGAACCTATCCATTTGCTCACATAATCGTTCATCAAAAGCAGTACAGTTCGGTAATGGGAGCTATGAGCAAACGAATCGCTTCAGCTTCATACTGAAAGTTGCCTCCCAGGTTGTAGAGCTGACCAAGATCAAGAAATCCTCTTTGGCCATGACTCTTTTTTTAAGCAATATTAAAATATAAAAGCAGTGGCAATCCCCAGTTACAATGTTCTGACAACGGTTCCCAAATACCTTCAAAAGACACTCTCCAGAACGCACTTCAAAAGTCGTTCAGTTTGACTGCCGACCAAATTCGTGCTTTTTTCAAGAGTCTCTAAGCCACATATTTACCACCAGTTGGCGCCGCACGCATTGCGCGCACAACACAGATCTGCGGCGAATTTTGATGGTGCGACGAAAATTTTCAAATTTGGCTTGATACACCACGAATATCTGAATCCTCAGCTAAATTCTATCCGCTCCATCATCGACGGCTTTCAACCTTCTTTTTCTTCGTCAACCATTATCCTCTTTTTCCCGGTCTCCGGACTGCTTCCGGACAATAAATCTCGTGGCAAACTCCGCCTACTTCGGTGCGTGCCCCGCCCACCAATAGCATTTGGCCCCCTTCCTTTCGCCGACCTCTACCCCTTTTTTCACCGGTCTCTGGGACCTCTTGGAACCAAATTACGACACTTTTGGCAAACTCCGCCCACTTAGGTGCGTGCTCCGCCCACTAATAGCATTGACCTCCTTTCCTTCGCCGACCTCTACTCCCTTTTTCCCAGCCTCCTGGACTTCTTGGGCCGAGTTATGAATTTTCGTCGCAAACTCCGCCCACTTTGGTCAAGGTCCCTCCCACCGATGACAGCTGGCCTCCACTCCTCCACCCACCTCCACCCCCTTTCCCCCCCTCCGGGACTTGGAGCCGAGTTATGAATTTTCGTCGCAAACTCCGCCCACTTTGGTCAAGCCCCGCCCACCATTGACAGCTGGCCTCCACTCCTCCACCCACCTCTATCCACCTTTTTCCGGCTCTTTAAGACTTCCCCGGCCCGAATTATGAGGACTTGTAGAAAATGCTGTACACTTCAGAGCGCGCCCCGCCCATTCTGGGCGGGCCTCCGCCCACGTCATGTATGCAGGAAACACCTTAGACATTGCTCCCTTACACCAAATTGTTTTCTCCCAACCGAGTTATGAAATTTTTCATAAAGCACTGCTTTTTTAGAGAACGCCCCGCCCACCGGGGTGGGTCTCCCTAATTCGATCTGACTTACCAATGCACACCTTTACCCACTTTTTGGCCCAGTTTCGAGGCTGTTTTGTCACTGAAATCGAAATCTTGGTCTTCGGTACAGTTCATTTCGACGCACGCCACGCCCACTGTGGGCGGGGCTCCGCTTAGCTGATGTGTGTTTTCGTGAGACCTTTACCACCCATTCCCCACAGTAAGTAGGATGTATTGGAAGACACTCTGGAGGACCATCGCAATACGTAGGCAGACGGGGTGTGGTTCACTAGGACAGAAAGCGACTTTTTCGCGTTTCGCAGCGCAATTTTCGTTGCGGGAACCTCGGGTCCACTGATGATTCGCTGCGGGAACCTCGGGTCCACTGATGATCAGCGGTGGACCTGAGGTTCCCGCAGCGAAAAATGTTTCGCGCTGCGAAACGCGAAAATTTCGCTTTCTGTCCTAGAGAACCACACCCGGACGCGTTCTTTGGATTCTAGAATCGAAAGCAACCAAAGATACTTTTGGTTGAAATGTCTTGAGATACCATTGACCGGCGTTCACATACGTTTTGGAAAAAATGTTTAAAAATTATCCGTGAACAGTCCCCATGTCCGTCTTTCTTGAAACCTTGGCATTCTTCATAAGTGTTCTTGTTATTGCTGTGCCATACAGGTTTTTTATGATGGAATTTTTATTATGCCTGACGTTTCGACAATTTCGTCGTTATCAAAGGCCTGAAAGCATATCGAAACGTCTTGCAATGTTACCATCCCGCTCACAGCTAACCTACTCCTACTGAACGTTACAATCCCCCATGCGACTACAATAGAGCAGAATTACGAACAACGGTTAACTCACGTTAATTCCACCAGGACGGGCCGCTCAGCTTCGCGAAATAATGGAGAAAGTGAGACTGACCGGTTGTGTACTGCTTGCAAAATGCGTACGTGCAGTACGTTGAATCAGAGCTCACAAAGCGGAATGTATGGCAAGAAATCATCAGTTATGGAAATGCACTCATTCCTGTTATTCATACGCGGATTACGGCGCTTTATCCAGAAGGCCTCGAAGTTTAACGTCAAAGTCACAACCAGAATGACTTTCCCTTCTGTTTCCCGAGCGGTGCGACCAAACTTTCCCTTCGTTTACTATCCTTTAATGTTTGTCTAAATGTGAAATGGTATAGGAGAGAAAGCTCCAAAAATATTATCATTCACGCACTGTCGGCACACCCCAGAGCTGTTAAACGAGCAGTATTGCGTAACATGTACAAAACAGCTGTGGAGGTGTGCACCGGTGACGAGGAGCGAGAAGAGTCCAGAAGATTAGCTCATCAAATTGCTAATCTCAATGGTTACACAGCACGGCAGCGGAAGTGAACGTAGCAGACCAAGGCCTTTTCCATACGGAGCTCAAAATAAGTTGTATCTACAACTTCCGTTTGTATCACTTTACCTTATCACTATCACTCTACCTTTCACTTTTTTCCGTTTGTTTCACTTTAGTGTAGTTGTACAAGAGTGCCTGAGAAGAGCCGACCTGGCCAATGATGTTATCTTGCGGCTGCGGCTGCAGGCCCGTCCTGGTGGAATTAACGTGAGTTAACCGTCGTTCGTAATTCTGCTCTGTTGCGTCGCACGGGAGAGAGACAGTTGCTAACTAACAAGTGTTTTAGGAGGAGTAGCGTAGCTGAGAGCTGGGCGATGAGGTACAGTGCAAGACGTTATTGATATGCTTTCAGGCCTTTGTAACGACGAACTTGGCGATCAGGGCATGGATTTAAACAAATCGATCATCTACTAAACCAAACACCTGTCTGTGGCCAGAACAATATACAGGAGAAAAACACTTAGCCAGTGAACAATTTTCACAACATAACAGAAGGGTAATAGTCCAAGGCTTTTCAGAAAACCGGTATGCACCAGCGATCGTCGAAAAGCTGAGGAAACTAGGATGTGGTTAGCTAGGACCGATAGCGACTTTTCCGCTTTTCGCACGCAAAACATTTCTGGCCACAAGAACCCGGGTGTGGTTCACTAGAACAGAAAGCGACTTTTCGCTTTTCGCCGCGAAACATTTTTCGCTGCGGGAACCTCAGGTCCACCGCTGATCATGAGTGGACCTGAGTTCCTGCAGCGAAAAATGTTTCGCGCTGCGAAACGCGAAAAATCGCTTTCTGTCCTAGTGAATCACACCCCAAAAACCTCAGGTTCATTGATGATCAGTGGTGGACCCTAGGTTCTCGCGGCGAGAAAAACTTCGCGCTGCGAAAAGCGGAAAAGTCGTTTTCTATCACAGCGAACCTCACCTAGGAAACAGGAGGTAAACATGTTGATAGAAGCAGAGTAGAGCAGGGTGAATAACGGTCGAGGATTCCTCGACCATAGCTCTCTACCATGCGAGAGTAGTGCCGAGAGTGAACATCCGCGCGGAGAGCACAGACGGCACGCCCATGGCGAGTGTGAATGTCCGCGCGAGAGATCGTGTCTGATCGGGCAGAGAATCCTCGACGTGCCGTTGAGGAATCCTCAAGCGATATTCACCCTGGAGTAGAGTGTCAGCCATTAGTGAGAGGAGTGCATACTGACTGGATTTTCTCCACGCTATGACGAATGATAGAATCGAGCTATCCCTGAGCCTCATGTGTGTAAGATGTTCTTCAGGAAATCAGTGATGAGGACTCATTCAAAATACTTTATTGGTAAGCTTTCGCTGTGCTAACAGCTTCTTCAGACCTAAACATACAAATCAAGCATAACATACGTACGCTAATTCTTAGAGCATAAAGCTATACGAACGTACTAACCGGGCAGTCAACAGCAATTCGGTAACTGCAATACAACATAGTAACGACTACTGCTAGTAACATCAACAGAAGAACGGCTTACCCCGACGCCACTTTCAGCGAAAGCTTACCAATAAAGTATTTTGAATGAGTCCTCATCACTGATTTCCTGAAGAACAGCTATGACGAATTTTGTACTGTCATCATGTTCACAAGGCAATGGGTTAGTCCGGATT